AAAATGCTGTGTGATGTTTTAACCTCTCAATGTCCCCCACAACTTTCAAAGATTCTCCAAAAGGAAAGCTGCCGATCTTCATTAGTGGAAGGAGTTTCCACAGGGGTATTCTATATACCATAGAATGTACATATGTGTGTGTGTGTGTGTGTGTGTAATACAAACATAAATATAATACAAAATATAATAAAATAAGTAAATACAAAATAAAAATATAAACCATAGGTCCTAACTAAAACCAAAGCAAAATCCTAAACATACTTATGGACATATATATAGGTATCCTTACTATGTTCATGACATTGGGCAAGACATTTACTTTAAGGTTCCTTCCAGCTCTAAACTTATATCACATATAGATTTGTTTAAAAATACAAGCATTTAATAAAAATACCTCCAAGGGAAGAAAAAAAAACAAATCTTGATTCTGTTTCATAAAAGATTCATTTACATTTAAGCCTACAAAATTTTGCTAGTAATACTAATGACTTTTACAATATATTCAACAAACCAGCACACCCCCAATGGTAGTGTTACGTTAAACTCTAAATCGGGGCCAAGCCCATGCATCTAATAATGTCCAAAATATGTTCAAGAAGCAAGAAGTTCTTTCTTTAATCAACTAATGTAGTTGAACAATCAGTTGTTTGAGTAAAATTAACAATATCCCAAATAGTTGTTACTGTACACTGGATTAGGAGTATGGAGACCTGGGATCAGTGTTGATTCTTTCACTCTATGGCTATGAGTGAGTCACTTAGGCTTTCTTCATCTGTAATATGAGGGAGGTTGACTAGATGAAGTGTAACATTCTAGGTGAACCTTTCCCTTGTATCAGTTTTAGATTCTTTTAGTTAAGGTTGAGAGCAGTGGGCTGAGTTCAACAAGTCTAGCCCCCAAAGGTGTTCATGCATTTCATTAAATATTGTGTATTTAGTATATACATTTATATCAGTCTCTTCCCAATCTTGATGCTGTCATCAATTGAATTCCATCCAGATCACTCTCTACACTTTCTTTGTAATTGCCTTAAGTATCTGATTCATTGTCTCCATCCCACAAGGTTCTTGTCATAATCTTCAATATCTTCAATATTCACATTAATAGCTACCCCTCAACAACCTGACCACATAATCTCTCAATTCACTTTCTGCCACACAGTGGCATGATTCCACCTTACATGTTATCATCTCTCAGAATTCCATAATTTTCAAGATGCAGAAATTCCATTCTCTAAGCCCAGCCACCTATCCTTTCACTCTAACTCAGCCCACTATTTACATTAAGTCTTCTTTTCACCCTTATCAAAACCTATTTCTATTCTCTCAGTTTATATTCCCCACTCTGACTTCACTTACTTTCATATCCAGCCTTGGACCCGTTATCCAACATTTTAATGTTTCTCTAGCTGCTAACCTAGAATATCTTGCATCCCCTAACACTCTACCATCCACACCCAGAAAATCTTTACCCTTGGATAATGACCCATATCATCCATTTTCTTCACTCTTATTTCAAGGCTATTTATTATAGTAATAGAAAATAATGAAATACAGACTGATTTCACCACTATACCTTGATGGTAGATAATCTCAGTTAGGTTCTTGATATTCCTTTATAATACTTCTCAACTCCCTATCACACTTCCCCCACAGTGACTGTTCCAAACATTTTCTTTCTTCCTCTCTCCCCTAACCATCTCCTTTTACAGCAAATGTCAGTCTCCTCCAATATTATAAAGCTGTAGGCCATGACCTCCCTAAACTCCCTTGTTCTATTACCAAAACCTTACCCATAACTCTCTTTCCCTTTGGTGAAAAAAACAAAACAAAACAAAACACACCCCTATTTTTCACTAGGCCTTTTAAAATCTGCCTTTACTTTTCTGTCACTCCTAATCTTGTTTTATCACATAAACACTTTTTCAAGTATATTCAGTCTCTCCCTCTCCCTTGGTATCTTCTCATTAGCCTGCAAATACACATAAGTCTTCCTAACATATGCCCCCCACCAAAAAAAAAAGCCTTTCTTTGAAAAATGTTCTATTTGAATGAAAAACATTGTTCAAATTGCCTGCAATGCCTGCTCTTAGATAAGACACAATGCCTAAACTCAAGGAGTTTTGCACAAGCTATTCCATGTGTCTGGAATGCCTTCCTGCACCCCCTTGTCTGCTTAATCATAATCATCATTTGTAGCCCAACTTAAATATCACCGAGGTATATTCAACTAGGCAGTGCATTGGAATTCAGGAAGACCTGAGTTCAAGCCCTACCTTAGATAACTATATGTTCCTGGGCAAATCACTTCATCTCCATTTGCCCTGATTTCCTCAACTGAAAAATGGGGATAATAATGCCCCCTATCTCACACAGTTATTGTGAGGATCAAATGAAATAATATTTGTCAAGTGCCTAGCACAGTACCTGGCATATAATAAGTGCTCTATTGTTGTTGTTGGGTCGTTTCAGTCATGACCAACTCTTTGTGACCCTGTATTTGAGGGTTTTTTGACAAAGGTACTGGAACAGTTTGACATTTCACTCTCCAGCTCATTTTTACAGATGAGGAAGCTGAGGCAAACAGGGTTAAGTGACTTTCCCAGGATCATATAGCCAAGTAAGTAAATGTTTGAGATTGGACTGGAACTCAGGTCCTCCTGACTCTGAGGCTGGTACTATATCCACTGCACTAAGTGCTAATTTATATAAATGCTAACTATTATTATTACTATCGTGCTTCATGATTTTTTCTTGATCCTCCCCCACTTCAACTTGCCCCTGATTTATAACTTCTTTCTCCAGTGTTTTCTTTTGAAACTTTACAATATGCTTACCATACAATAGTTTATATCAAAGTTATCTCACTGTATTTTATTTCCTTTTCACATTGAAATATCTATGAGGGTAGGCACTGCTTTTTTATTAAGGTCCTGAATCTCTTCCAACAATTTGCCCATTGCTTTTCACTCAGGAGTAGTAATAGTAGTAACAGTAGTAATAATAGTAGGAGGAGGAGGAGGAGTAAGAATAGTAAAAATAAGTAAGATTTATATAGGACCCTAAGGTTTGCAAAGAGGAGTAGTAATAGTAGTAACAATAATAGTAACAGTAGTAGTAGTACCAGTAGCAGTAGTAGTAACAATAATAAGAATAACTAGGATTTATATAGGACTCTAAGGTTTGCAAAGAGCTTTCAGGTTATCTCATTTGACTTCACATATTAAGTGATAAGGGCAGGTTAGGTGGGGTGGCACAGTGGATAGAGTGCCAGGCCTGGAGTCAAGAAGACTCATCTTCCTGAGTGCAAATCTGACCTCAGACAAGTCACTTAAACATATTTGCTCCCGTTTCCTCATCTATAAAGTGAACTGGAGAAGGAAATGGCAAATCCAGTATCTTTGCCAAGAAAACCCTAAATGGGGTCGCAAATAGTTAGAAATGACTTTAAAATGAACTGAACAACTAAGTGAAAGGTGCTCGATAAATGCTGTGTTGATTTGAAGATAACATGGTGCTCATTGCTGTGAGGATTCAAACAGGAGACTTGGTCCCTTGCCCTTTAGGACCTCACAGTTTCAATGGGGCCATCAGACATATACACAATGGAAAGTTTAACATCATATTTAAGCCATCCATATTCCATGTATAATGAGTGGTTCAAAGAAGAGTCACCACAGGAGATACAAGGAAGGAGAGATTGCTGTGAACTGGAGTAGAAAAAGAAGACTTCATAAAGGAAAAGGAAAAGGATGGTTCCCTTTAGGAAAGATCTAGAAAGGAAGGAGTACTTTGTACCACAAAGAGGGTGTAACTCTTTAAGATTCCCTATTGATTATCAATTATCTGAAACTACTGAAAATGATGAATCTGGGAGCTACACACTATTCAAATGAATTTTTTGCTCAAATTTTCCTAACAAATGTGATAACTAGCATTGAAAAGAATGAAAGAAAGAAGGAAAAGCAGAGGAAGAAAAAAGCTTAAGACAAGTTAAAAGCATTGAAAACAGTTACCCCCTTACAGGATAGTAGGCACTTAAGGGGGTGGTGGGGTGGGGTTTTCCTTTTTTATGGAAGAGAATGCTTTGGATGAGTTTCTCTGGAATGTGTATTGGAAGCCATTTTGATGCAAAGGAAAAAATAACCATGGGCTTTAACTAAATTAAGGTTCATCTGTTCTTTAGGTAGAATCAATCAGTTTCTCTTCTTCAATTAGGCAGGAAGCCAAAAGACATTAAGAGAATGGTCCACATCCACATAAGCTCTCCACTTACTTTTCTGCATTTTCTAAGGGATTGTCCTACAAACCTGAAGCAAGTACTGTTTGAGGGATTTCCTGCCATAGAGCTAGACCATAGAGAAAAGTCTACTTCACAATGCCCTTCGATAACTATAATATTCAACTAATGGCAAATGTGCTATAAGGATCTATGTTAGGGCTTCCAGCCCATCCAATTCACTTCTTACTATAGCAGATTTATTTTAAACATTCAATCTATTACAAGTATTTAATATGTACTTATGTGCTAGCATTGTGTCAAGCACTGGGGAATACAAGAAAAGTCAAACAAACAAAAAAATTCCTACCCTCAAGGAGATTATATTCTTTCTAATAACATGGAGATTACACTGTTAATTTATAACAACAATAAGGAGATGACATTCTTTTTAATAACACAACATGTAAACAATAAGTCCATACAAGATATATACAAAGGTGGTGGAGAAACAACCTTAGCTTTAAGAATAATTTATTCAAAAGATAAGCAAGACTGAGTGGGGAAAATAGAGACTTAGCTTAGAATGGATCAGAATTACCCCATCCATCAAAGTTCATCACTTTTTAGCCAGTAGCTTTTGGTCCAAGTTAAAGCTAATAAACCAGCTTTGCCCCTTTGAAAATTTTGATGTCAGATATTAAGCTCTTTGCTCCTTTCTAAGCAAACCATTGAATCTCCTGGGAAGAGAGAGTAGCGGAACCAAAGACTAAAATACTCACTGCTAGTTATTTACTTCAGCAGCAGTGGTTTCCATTTGGTGTCCAGACATCACTAAGCATAACTTCTGATGGAAACCGCAGAATTGATAGCAGCCCACTAGGAGACACTGTCAACCCTATAAATTAGATTGGAGAGAAAAGCATCATTGAAACAGCAGAAAGCTGGTAAACATTTTCTTCCTTTATAAGAATAAACTAACCATGGAGGACACATGGACCACACAAAGAAGAATACTGGATTGTCAGTAACCTCAATGTCCTGCTCAGACTGCTTTAATTATGAAGGCCTGTAGTTCTATTCACTGATGGGGTGGTTTTGATTAGTGGGAAAGTTAAGGAACAGTGATAACAAAGCAACACAATTTATCCCTCCACCCTTTCCCCACCCCGACCCTCCCCCACACATACATACATACTTTATAGGATTAGCATTTAGGGAAAGTAAGGTTCCAGTGGAATTTGACTACAGCAATCAATCACATTTAATGATCTTGTTTCTTGCTGAATTTCTAAGTGCTCAAATAGATAAATGTTCAAAAAACACACTGTGAGCTCTCTCTCTCTCTCTCTCTCTCTCTCTCTCTCTCTCTCTCTCTCTCTCTCACACACACACACCACACACACACACACATACACACTCATTCAAGACACTAAAAGATAAGCCCCAAAACACAGTGGCTTGATTTTCAGAATGGTAAAAAAAAAAAAAAAAGATCCTGCTTCTACCAAGATGATCATTTTTCATAAGATTGTAATACCACTCATCTAGGTCCATCCAAATGAACACAGCTGTGGTTGAAAGGCCATAAAAAAGAGACTTTTTCCAACAGGAGATCATGCACTGGGAGTAGGAAACAGAGAAGATTAATAATATAAAGTATATTTGCTTAAGAGATCAAAATCTTGCATAGCCTGTTAATCAGAGCTTGAACTTTAGCGCAAACATGTTCACTGCTTTCTATTTATCAAAAGGAACACGGGATTCATTAGCTTCTCAATTCAGCGATTTGCTTTCGACTACCAACTCATCAAGAGCTCGTTTTCAGTCTAGCATTCACCAAATTAATATGTAAGGGGTGAAAAAGACGCAAGGTTTCTATTCAAAAATGCTAAATAAACTGTCAGAGGGCAACGATGCTGCTTAGCCCCTGCTATCTGCAGAAGCCTATGCAGAAGTCTGCTGTCCAGTTTCACACTGGGAAATGCCAGCAGAACTACAAGCAAGCTGATTTCAGCAGATGGGAAAAGAGCTAAGGCCAGGACAGCATGGACAGAGAAAATCAATCAACTGGGCTGGCAAAAAGGGTGACTTCACAGCCGACAATGCCAGCCATGCAGAGTAATGATCTTTTAGAGTAGGAGAAATGAAGAATCCAAGTGTCACACAGGGCAGAGGGGGGGATATAAGATTGGATCAGGGGGAGATAGTTACTCACCAAATCTGTTCATTATTTGCAGGCAGAAAATTAAACCATATTTCCTGTTTATCTGAAAGGCTGTGAGTAGGGAGATTCTGAGTGGTGATGAGCAGTTGATTCAGCCCCTGCCCCCTCACTGCTATTACTGCTCACTAAAGCATTCAGAGAGCTCAGCTTGCCTCTGTCTGTTACATTCACAGGCTCAACAATGTTGCTTATCAGCAAGGGCAGTCCCAGTTCTCAGCAGCTCCACAGTGGCTTGGGCATATTTGACTTTATTCCATATAATACCACTGATTTATGAAGCAGACAGTGGAAAACCTATTTTCAAGTTATTTAGACTTTCCAGGGTTCTCTCTGAAAGTTCTGCTGTGTGACCTCTGATTAGGTCACAGGGAGCAGAAACGGCTCCAGCGCCCATTGGCTTTGGGAATAAAATAACAAAAAATCCCAAACTGAGATATCACACAAACAAACCAAAAACCTCTCTATTCTGTAGCCTTGTAAGAGGACTATATAGCTAAACTTGAAGGGCACCGTGGAGGTCATATAATTTAACACCTTCATTTTAAAGATGTAGAAAATGAGGCCAAGACAAGTTAAGTGACTCGCCCAAGGTCACGCACTATAATAAGTAGTAGAAGCAGGATTCAAACCCAGGCTTCTAAGTCCAAATCCACTACCCTTTCCACTGTATTATGCTATTTGAATCACCTTAAAAAGAGTCAAAAATATTTCAAAAGGACATAGAGCTTCATTACGCGACACTAGCAAAACCGTAGTGACTTTTGTTTTGATAATCTAGGGATTTGTTACCTTATTGAGAACATTAAAACTCCACCTAACTAGGGTGGGAGCAGCAAGGTGGCCCAGTGGATAGAGCACCAGGCCTGGAGTCAAGAAGACATGAGTTCAAATGTAGACTCAGATACTTACTAGCTGGGTTACCCTGGGCAAGCCTATTTGCCTCAGTTTCCTCATCTGTAAAATGAGCTGGAGAAAGAAATGGAAAGCCATTCCAGTATCTTTGCCAAGAAAATCCCAAACGGAGCCATGAAGAGTTGGACACAAATGAAAAGACTGAACAACGACAACAACTAACTAGGATGACTTGGGAATAGTAGGTTCTGGCTAACTGAATTCTTGATCAATTCATTCGTTCCCTGCCATTCTTCCTTTTGGAAATCCATCCTCCCCCCTCCCTCATGTGATGTTTTTGTGTAATAACATTTCTATTAAATATTGCACAAAAATGTCAGAAATTGATATAAATAATGGGTTGACTAAGTGGTGATAATCTTTACGACTTTAACTCTTATTGAAAATTTTTCTAAAAATGTATTACTTCAATTTCCTCCCTAAGTAAGTCGTTCAGTGACTATAATGAGCTTTATTTTATGATTTGGGATCTTACAAGGGTCTCAAGATTATTCTGATTACACACACACACACACACACACACACACACACAATCTCACTTCAAGGCTTAAAATATTAGTTGCCGTTGTATAGGGCTACAGATGAATAAGGCATAGGAAGCCAGACTGAATCTATAGTGACCCCTAGGGCATGCCTAAGAGCATGCTTTTTTAAATGAGTAAGATATGAACTTATTTTCCTGTGATTAGAGACATTCTCCTCAAAGAAGCATGTGGAAAAATAAATCTAGTTGAAAGTAATTTGTGGTTCTGATTAATTGAGGTTTTGCTTCAAGCACATTCCCAACCAAGTCACCTGAAACAAGAATTCTACAAACTAAATCCAATTTTCTCTTTAATTGCCATTGAAAAATGGACCTGCTTTCCTATTTGGAAATATGCCTCCAGCATCAATGCCTTTATATCAATATGCATGCAGAGACACGTTACTGGCCTCATAGGACTATCATAGAATTACAGATTTGGAGCTGGAAGGGTCCTTAGGCTTCATCTAAGCCAACTCTGATATTTTGCAGATTGAAGAAACTGAGGCCCAGAGAGGTTGCGATTTGTCCAAGGTCACATGGTTATCTAATAAGAAGCAAAACTGGGTGTTTCTCTCATTTTTCTGTTTCAACTCCCCTCACACTTTACTCAAAGGTTACTATTCTTGTCATTGCCTGGTCCTGGCCCCCTAATGGCTGTGTCTCTCCATTTTGGTAGGGACACATAACTCATGGTATAGTCAATTCCAGCAGGTGGAACAGGGAAGAACCCAACTAAGAATCTTATCACTCAAATTCTGCCACTAGGTTTAGGATCGTGTGAAGAGGACTGGTTGATGCTCTGCCAAGAATCTAGATGTGTGCCATGGACTGCTTCTTGATGAAAACTGGAAACTCCCACAATTGTTACAGCAGAAGAATCTACAGCAACAACCATAGCTTTGGTGGGGCCTCCAGTACCCATCATTATTGCCTAGAAGAGCTATGGGATAGGTCAAGCCAAGGGCTTGTTGAATCCTGTATTATGCTCAAGCAAACCAGTTAATTTCCAGAACTTTCAATATCCTTATGCATGCACCATGATAAGTAACAATACGTGTGCAGTGCTACCTCCAAAGTATCAAAGGCTACTCCTGCTGCTTCTTATATTTGTAGGATTGTGCAGAGCCTAACATTGCTGTGCCTTCTCTTCTGTTCAGTTTGTAGCAATTAGCAAAAGCTAGGGTTGAGATCTCACTTCCATCTACCAGTGCTGTGCCTAGCTTGAGAAGTCAAATCAATGGACTGAGCACTAAAACTCCAAGGGTCTGTCTGCCTTTTTCCTGTTCTAAATCACAGTTTTTCCAAGAGAACAAGAAGGAAGCATTGATTGGTATTCTTTCCTCCTATACCTTGACTTTTGTTGGAATCTTACAAGGGACTCAGAAGGAACCATGCACTCCAATTATTGCTAATTTGTGCAGGCCACTGGTGCATTCAAGATGGCTCCTTAGAAAAGAAATGAATGTTTCATAATAGGAAAGCTTCAAGAATAGAATACTAAATCTGCTTCCTGCTTTGTAAGTTACAACATAGCATAATTTTACAACTGAGTATTTTTATATTAAGAGATATCTTGAAGGAAATGTGGTAGAAGGAAAAGAGCTCAAGACTAAGAATTAGATCTGGGTTTTTAATCTTGATTTTTACACATTTGGCTGTGCAACCTTGAGCAAGTCATTATGAAGCCCCACACAAAGAGCTCAATAAGTATAGTTTGAATTGAAGTGAACTGAAATTTTCTGGCCCTTAGTATCCTTATCTATGAAATGATGATTTGAATGTAAGTGGGCAGCCAAGTGGCACAGGGGATAAAGTGCCACGACTGGAATTGGGAAGAAATGAGTTCAAATCCAGCCTCAGACACTACCTCTATGACCCAGGGTGAGTCACTTAATCCTCTTTGCCTCAGTTTTCTCATCTGCAAAATGAGCTGGAAAAGGAAATGACAAACCATACCAGTATCTTTGCTAAGAAAACGCCAAATGGGGTCACAAAGAGTTGGACACATCTGAATCACAGGAACAACCACAAAATGAATTACAGTATCTTTAGCCCACTTCCTAGCAGTTTTCAATTTTACAATTCTACATATTTTTCGACTTGTATAATTGGGGCAGAAGGAAAGGAGCAGTAATAAAAGTTTTCAAAACCACATTATGGTAGGACAGGCCAAGGACAAACCAGGAATGACCAGAACTCAAACACTGGACAATGAGATAAGACATCTAGGTAG